AAAAAGGATATATTTTATAAAGTTTGAAATATTGTATGCACAGTAAGTTATATATGATGACAAAGTGAGATGACCTTGTCAGGACTCGGGACATTTTATAATATTTAAAAAAAGTACGTGTTTAATATTACGCTTAATATACATCATGATTTTTCATCTGTTATTTAACTTGAATGAAACCTGACTGTTATCAAAATTAGGAACTTAAATAAATAACGGAAGAATACAATATTTTTAAATAGTTTAAAAAATAATACGATCCAATGCTAGGCGAATCCCAAATTTAGTATAATATTATTTCATATTTGATATACACTCAGGTTCCATGGATTATCATACATAGCGAAACACAAAGCTCGCGACCACTCACAAAAAATTGATATGAACATTCGTGACACAGTAAAGTTTGACAAGGATGGAAAGTCGAGGTTAGGTAATAACTCATTAATTATTTAGTAAGCGAGGTTTATTAGTTAGGTATTATTATTATCTATAACCTCAGTTGATTTTATTGTTCTTTTTTGCAACAGATTGAATAAAACATTGTATAAAAAAAAAAGTAAGTGAGGCGAGTCGATCGACTGCTTGAACGTAGCGGTGAGTGGTGACCTTTATCGGGACAACGAGCACTTGCAATGATTTAACGAGCTCATCATTGATGAAGAAAACTTAATAAGAGGTACGCTCGTTCCCCAAAAAAATGTTTTCTGTCGTGTGCCATCATGGGGGACTTCAATCGAAATAATATTATGATGTTCCGGTACGACGAAACGGGAMTTCAAGTCGTCATGTTGCTGTTTGATTTTGGGACGGCTCGTTACTGTTCGMCAACGTTGGATATATCGTTTTTCTTGGACATGAACACGATTCAAAATTCGTACAACCTAATGTCCGCTCACCAAATAGAGCTGAAATAAATTTTGAAATGGCTGCGTGTACCTACCTTATTTCACTTATTTGGATTCGCTTCGCACTCGCATAATTTTTYGTATTTAACCTGATGCTATTTTTAAAAAAAGGGAATGAACAACGAAAAAACATTAGAGTGCTGAGTGGTTATTACAACTGGGTAGGTGGTACTCGGCTAGATACCTATAAAAATATCGAGAACTCTATTTTAGTGTATACCTATCTATGGATTTCGGTATAATATTGTGAGTCTATGCATTGACGCCATATATTCATTAGAAAAGAAGAACAACATACAATRATGTTCAATAATTAATTGTTGAATCGATGAGAATTTGTGAAGATCGAAATGTACCAATTTTCAAGAGCAGCGTTCGTGAATTTTTTATAAGCGTTCGGGCTCGGCCGAGCAGACTATTGAGATAAGAGGCCATCATTCACATTTTGCACACCGGATGCCTCATACTCTATATCTATATTACTAGTGAGTACTGAGTAGTGACGATATTCGGTTGAGGTTAATAATAATAACTTGAGTGGTTGGTATATAATTTATCATATTTTTCTGTCACTATATTAATTTCCTTTACATTTTTARTTACCTATATATATTTTATATGAATATAATCAATATTATTTTAAATTTCCAACGACAGTACCATTATGATGATTATTATTATTACTTATTACGATGATTTTATTTAATTATATTTTAACTTAGGTAATTTAGGTCTTTGTTATTAATATCAGTATATATTTTTGTATGTAATAATGTAATTCACATGAAATYTWTTTATTAGATAAGTAATATGGTTTGTGTTGCATTATTTTATTTAAAATTTAAATGCAATGATATAACAAATTATACCTATTAATTACCTAACTATTTAACAGATGTAGGTACTTTATATTATGTATGAATGTACCAAGGAAACGATTGCGCCCTCAACTATTACTGTTTTAAAATTCTGATTCACCTTCGTTGGTCGCTGCTTTCACCGTAACTATAGTTATATATATATATACATAATTCATTATAATATAAAGGTTTATTGGTTTATACATATTATATTATAATCATAATATATATCATTTGTCCATATAGTATGAGTATATTCAATACAAGGTATCTAAAAATTATGAAATATCCGGTAGTGTACTAGTTGCATTAAAATTGATTAAACAAAAATTAAGTGTTAACTTTTTTTTTTTTTTTTGAGCATTTTCGCTAATTTAAAATAAAGGGGAAGATTGAGAGTAAAGACGATTGTTAGACGCGTCATTGTTACATCTCTTATATCTTGTTAGTTACTGACGTTTCTGTATTGCCCAGAGGCCAGAAGTTTCTGGGAAAATGTGAACCACCGTTTTTTTCTCCGTTATATATTCGCATAAATGTGAATGTTTGGTGAAGATAGAAATCTCATGTCCATATCATGTTTAATATCTTCAATGACGTTGGCACATGCATTATARGCAACCTTCAAACAGTGGGGTATGGGGGACATGTAAATATTATGCATAATGACATGTCTTTGTGGCATACGCCATACTGTCATAGGTAGTTGAATTGGCTTTCACGTCATATTGTGGGGAGGGTTATGGTGACAACGTTATATCGGGCTCTTATACTATTGCCATGCAGCTTAAAGTTTTCACTCATTCGGCGCAGAGCGCGCCCGCGTTACTAAGGGACGGTGTGACGGTGTCGAGCAGGCGCGTTCAACAACGATTTTCCGCGGTCGTGGACGGGGAGACGGCGGTGCAAGCCAACAAACACACACACACACACATAAACGCACACGGATGCGTGAAAGCTAAAATACGCAACACTACTCCACTGCGACATCCCTCCCAACTTWAGCGCTAGTGCATCCACCTACATTATATTATACCACTGCCACCACCGCCGCCACCGCAATATCCGGCTTTGACGTGGTGCTCGTTGTACGTCCGCGGCCCGCTGCAGATTTGACGCCGTCCGTTCTGATGAACATCATGCTGATACTGCAACGAACGGGAAAATAATCGAACATCGTACTGCAGTGAATAGAGTGGTCCCGGTCGGGGAGACCGCGACATCGCCCGCGCAAAACTACCGCATAATCGGCCAATGGCGCCCAGGGACAACCAAGAGCTGGTGCCGCTTACAGACGGCAGCGGCCGCCCGAACGATGGCGACGAACTGGAGAGCCAACGGCCGCAGAAGAGAACGGCCGCCACGTGTCTAGACGACGGCGTTGGCTGCGGGGGAAAGGGGCAGTTGCATCAGGCGCCGACGAACGATGACATGAAGACGTCCATGCTTGCCTGTCATCAGGTCATCGGACTTGGCACGCTTTGGAGATTCCCCTATGTGTGCCTCAAGTACGGCGGTGGTAAGTATTTGTCTAAGCCCTAAGGTCTTACAACATAATTTATGCTATACGTATTACAAACATGTTAGGTAACTACTCCAGAGTACKCAATACACCCGCAAGTTCGCGCGTTAGTCCTTAAATATAAAATGAGAGATAGTTAAGAGCATTAATCAATTCCAATATTTTATATATTCATAACACATAGGTAATAAAAAATTAAAAAACATCGTATAATATCGGCATATGTACCTACTGCAAACACAGATGATATTTTCATCTGTAAGTTTGTTTCAATTCATTCAATTAATATTAGAGAATCGGCTCTGCTGAACACAATTACACAAAGTATATTTGTAAGATAAGAACTACAAATTAAAGGTATAACATATATATATATATATGATATACAGGGTGTCCCACAAGACCCCGTTCCAATATCTCCCGAAATAATGGAGATATCAAAATTCTRGTTTTGTAGTAAGACTCACGAGGATAAGGACTACAATTATTTCATATTTTAATTTATTTCAATGTTTTGATAAAAAAGTTAGAAAATATATTTAATATTTAATTATTTACAAAAAAATTCATAGTAGCCATTTTGTAGAGTTTATTTTTCTGAAAATATAACCATTTCAAAATTTTATTTTCGTTAATTTCCTGATTTTTAATTGTTTTTTTAGTTTTGAGAAAAATAGCGAATTATTAGCACCATAGTGTTATCAAACATGTTAAACGCCGCGCCGCGCGCGTGCTCGTACGACCGGCTGAACGATTTTAGTGTGCCTAGTTAAAATAAATTTTTGAAACGTCAATATTTTCAGAAAAATAAAACCTGCAAAATGGCTATCTTTAATTTTTTTTGAAAATAATTAAATAAAAAAATATTTGGTGTATATTAAATTGAATAACCTGAGTTTGGAAATAATTTAAATCATATAAAAAGTTATATAATTTAACTAACTGTTATTGCTTCTTTAGATCATTGATTAAAACAACTTTAAACTKGATTTTTAATTAATGTCACTTAACTGTTTATGAACAAAATAATTAATTCCTACATAAAAATACGTTTCATTTTTAATATATGTACTAGGTAGCTTTCAAAAATATTAGGAGATGTACCTATAATAATAATAATATCCTAAAATATTTTAATAATTTATTACTTTCTTAATAACATAATATTGTTTTATTAATGTAAATATAAATTAAATTGCCAATTTTAAAACTAAAACTTAAATTATTGAATAGGTTTATTTAATCTTTGAGATTCGATAGCGTAAATGGAAAGTGAAAAATGGATACAAATAATAAATTAATGTTTCTTGATTGTTCAGTGTTGTATACATTTTCTGCCATGTATAACACCTATGATATTAGGTCAATAAACTTGATCATAATTTTACAGGGGTGGATGATTCGGGCACCATATATTTTTATTTAACCATAAGTCTATACAAGCCTTATGGTATACACATAAACACTTTAGTCGAGCTATCCTCTGTCCACATTCCATATTGTCCAGGCATATTGCACATTCATCACTTCTATTCATATTTACGACGTCTTCGTTGTATACCTTGGCTCGTAATTCAGAAATTTTTGAACATTGCTCGACATGTCTACAAGAATTCATATCATTCAAATGAATAATTTATGATAAATTGAAACAAAGGTTTAAAATACTGTATTGTATACATTTTTATATGATTAAATTATGAACCTTAAAACTTTAAAAGCATTTAAGGAATAAGGATTGAGAAATTTAATACCTACCTATTAAAAAAGCTATTGAATAGCAGATATTATTTATAATTTTCAGCTATTGTGCTACATATAAAATAAAATATAAAATAYAAAAAGTAAAATTTATGTTATGTAAATTAAAAATTCCTACAGTATTTACTATATAGAGTTGCTTCAGTGGTGCATTTAGGAATTTATTGTGGGGAAAGGTTCAAATAATTTTCACAATATAAAGCTGTAGATTACTTTTATGATCCGGTTAAAAAAATTAACATCGTTATAGGCCAATGGTGGGTGGGGAGTTAGGACTCCTGTAAACATGCCACTGATAGTCAAGTGATACAGTATGAATTATAGGGGCTGATGTTGGTCACTCGTTTTTCATCCCTTTTTACGATGTAAGATAGGTTAGAATAATGGTAGCAGAGCGCTCCAGACAGGCGGGTGGACAGTTAGGGTAAACTTTATTATTTTGTGGGCCGAAGGCCAGTTTTTCAGGGCGGTTAGAGGCCCCCGCGTATGTAGAATAACTACGATAATTGACGGCGAATAAACGATACGGGACCGGGTGGCAGTATTGTGCTAAACATTTCCCACCCGTTCCTGGTTTTTTRAACGGAAAAAAAAAATAAAAAATGTTAGGATAATGGTGTATTTACAACAATGAATGAAAAATACATTTTAGCTATACATATAGGTAATTTAAATTTGTACTCGTATACTTAACAGTAAAATTACAAAGAAAATTTCAAACTTGTTAAATTCTATTTTTAAAACTTCAATACTACATCGGAATGGTCAAATTTTGTTTTCGTAAMTAAGTAATTGAGGAACATGTCAATGCTTCGGAATATTATTTTAAACTTACAGCAAATTAACAGGTCTATTTTGTTAAATTTAAAAGCATTTAGCATTTATAGTATCATACAGATTATATCAAGTTTTTATAATTTATAGTATGCAATTACTATAGGACTAGGGTCTAGGGATCAAGTCTAAATAACTATTAATTTACTATACCTAATGGCTAATAATAACACAACAAATTCTAGTACATTCGAGGTCAGTCATAATTTTCTTTGTCGCCGTGGTATCAATGACATTGTTGATTTAAAAAAAAATGTAATTGATATTTTTGTTTACTCGGGACTATTGGATCAAGGGTGGTATCATATTATATAATTTAATGCATTGTTAAATATTGATATAAACAATTAATTAAATGTTCTATACTTATAGGTGTATATTATTTATATATCGTGTCCATTTTGTATTCATTACATCCAATATATTATACATTTTGTACAGTAGTCGATAATATGGGTTAGTGCATAGCTTTAAGGTGCTTATACCTGGTAATAATACCCTAATAATTTAGAACTTGTTGTTTTGAAAGTTTTACCTAAATGATAAAATAATAGATATTTATTAAATATAATAAAGACAACATTTATTAACTGTTATGAATTATGACCGATTAAATATTCAGTTAAAAAATTATTAACTATCAATAAAAATTAATGAAACTGGAAAGTTACATCTTACATAATATACTATAATCCCTAAACCCTTACTTGTTAATTTTTGAAGTGTAATATATTAATATCTGTTATATGATAATATTAGTAAATGCTAATTATTATCTAATTATCAATTAGTAAATTATTTTACAAAAATACATAAGCATAATGTGCTTAACATCTTGTTTTTAAAAGTTAGATGTTACAGACTAGATGTCGACTGATCAGACCTTATAATATAATTAATAAGTATAAGTATAATCATACAAAATATGAAACATATTTTACAATAATGTAATATGTCTTCAATTATATATAATTTACATACTTACTTAATTGTTGTAATATTTAAAATGTATTATTTTTTTAGATATTATCAAAATTATATAGGTGCACTGTTTTTTATTTCTTTTATACCCACAGTTTTCGCGTAATACATTAGAATTTAACTTAAATTTAACACGCAAGACTTCATTGATTTTCATATATCTAGTACCTACCATCTATAAATAGGTTAAATTTTGTTCTTAGTATGTATATTCTAAATATTTAGAAACAAAACAGTTTTTATTATAATTATATTCTGCTAACAAGAAATTATTTGAATACTCGCCTGATTTATGTTTTATTCTACATMCAATATCGTAAAATGAATATAATAGGCGATCTTGTTAACTGTTAATTATTTTGTACACTGATACCTATATAGCTTTATTCATTTAAAATATTATGTAAGTTTCCAACTGTAAAATAGTTAATATTTAGTTTACAAATAATGCCATGCATAATATACTAGTATACCTTAAAAATTATACATACTAACTCATTGGTAGTATTATGTAGTTAATAGTTAAATATTATATTGATACAAAGTAATTTTTGAATTTTGATCTTTTAAGTTATTGTTAAAATTTCAAAATGCATAATACGGTTAATTCTGTATWAAATTAATTAATGACTTTATAAATAAGAAAAAAAAGTAATAATAATAATAATACAAATAATATAGTATTAATAAATGTTTATTGAGATGAATAAAAACAGGCTAATTCCCAACAGTACAAATGTTTGATAAATTGTTACAATAAAATACCTAATATATAATATATACTGTATGATATTAAAATTCTTAATATTAAAAATCTTGAATATAAACCAGATAGATTATAAAATACAGATATTATCAGGTCTCCTTGCAAATTTAAAATATGGTTTAAGGTTATAGTTACGCTTTAAAAAACTATTAAGAATTTTCCATGTTGACCACTCAAAATTAATAACTATAGATTCATTTTTTGATAAGAAAAGATGCTAATGTCAATCGGAGCATTTTTACTATTCCAAATGTTGATGATAGACAGACAGAAAAATCACATCATTGCAAAATCAATAAATTCATTTGCAACTCTAAGAATCTAAAATTTGGTTAAAATATTAAGTATTTATGATGAATATTCATCCAAGTCTCACAGAAAAAAAAATTAAAATAAACTGAATACTGCGGTATTACGTAATAATTCCTGTTTTTATAATTTTTAGGGGTTTTCCGAGTTATTTTAAAAAATACTAGACATTTTTTTTTCTCCCATAAGTACTAATTAGATTCAATATTAAACCACCCTTTAAGTTGAAAATCAAAGCATGTTGTTACATACATTCATCGCTCCGCTAAAATCTAAAATCTAAAACGAGGAATTACTTCTATAAAATATTAATTAAATAATATTTGAATATTTCCTATCTATAGGTAGACCAAGTAGTTCTAAGTAAAACTTTTGAAGTATTCGTTCTTTCTAGTTTCTAATAAAAATTAGAACTTAGAACTTAAAATGAATGATATAATAAAAAATTTTAAGTTCATGATAGATAGCTCACTTGTTATAGTGAACTATTAAAATCTTCTTCTGGCATATTGGACAATATCCTTTTCGATGTTTTTTACAACTTTTAAGTTTAGATACGTACAACGACCATTGGTTATGCAAATTATTTTTTCTTCTTTGGTTCATTTATGTTTCAAAAATTTTGTTTCTTATTTAAATGTTTGTTTTAAAAAATTAGTAAGTAGTTACTATGAAAATAAGTTTGTAGAATTATTGTTAGGCATGAAAATCTATAAATTCATATTATCAATAACCACATTATGCGTAAATATTGATAGGAAATATGATATATTATGCAATTTGTTTTTACCTAATTAGTAATTTATTATAATAACATCGTTAAAAAAAACAACAAAAATGTAGGTAATTATGTTTTTATAATTACAATAATTTTTAATTTCAGGTACATTTTTAATACCATACATGATCGTTATGTGCTTTGTGGGTTATCCATTACTTATTATGGAAATCGGTATCGGTCAAAAATTGAGACACAATAGCATAACAATATGGACTACAATTAATCCTCAATTGGGTGGTATCGGCATAGTTATGTGCTTAGTTAATATTGCTATGGCTTGCTACTACGGAACTATCATAAATTGGGGAACTAAATATATGATCGATATGAATAAGGTAACTATTATCATCATCATAATTATAATTTTAATTATTATTATTATGAATCTCCTACTGAATATCATCAATATGTAACTAAAAACATTTCGTTAGTAGTACTTTTTTGTGTATTACAATTATTAAGTACAGTTTAGATTAGGTAATTTTATAATTTATTAGTTTTTTTAAATATGTACCTGCACAAAACAATATAACTCCATCACCACTCTCGAGAAATTGAACTTTTTTTTTTCTATTAATTAAAGGCTTCAAATACAAAGGTTTATTAGCCTACAATGGTTTACATGTTTAATTTATAAATGTATATAATGAAGATTTGATAGTTGTGATGTGCTGTCTTTGGTTCTTGTCTTATATGTTGGTTGTGAGGTTGGCCATCATGATGAAGTTTACTATGTTTTTTTCTTGTCCTGGTCCGAGTGCGTCTTTGAGTGAGGRGGTGTTTATKYTTGCTTTTGATCTGGCGTTATGGTAAGTGGGGCATTCTAGGAATATATGATTAACGGTGAGTTCGCAGTTGTATGTTTCACACCTGGGTTTGAGCTCTCTACGCATAAGGTAGGAGTGGGTGATTCTAGTATGTCCGATGCGTACTCTGGCGATCATGGTCTCTTCATGCCGTGTAAGCTTGACTGRAGGGTCCGGYCATTTTTTGGTTAATGGTTTTATTTGTCTGAGTTTATTGTTTTGGTTRGATTGTTTTTCCCATTGATTCTGCCAGAGGGTGTATAATTTCGTTTTGAGGGCGCGGATTACATCGTCGTATGTTACATGCGGGTATATTTTGGTGTCYGGGGAGCTAACAGCTTTCATCGCCAGTTCGTCAGCGAGTTMATTACCGGGGATGCCGATGTGAGATGGAACACATGAGTTTGATGGATTTGTCGGTTGAGAGGATTATGTTTTGAATGCTTTGGGCGAGGTTGCATTTTGTATGTACGTTGGCTATTGAGGTGACCGCGCTCATAGAGTCACTTAAGATGAGAACTTTAACGTGGTTTGAGGAGAGTGCGGTTAATGTGGCTTCDAGTATGRCGAATGTTTCTGCTGAGTATATGCTGGAGAGAGGGTCTAATTTATGAAGACTATTTTCATCCCTGTGGGTAATRRCKAAACCGGTTTCATTCGTTGTTTTGGAGGCGTCTGTATAGAAGTGGTAGACATTTTTGAATTTGGTGTTTATTATTTCGTAGAACGTATTGATGATAAGACTATGTGGTGTGTTGTTTTTGTTGAATTTGGTAAGTTCTGTATTGGCTTCTATATGATTCGTGTTCCACGGAGGGATTGTTGCGAAAGTTTCTTTTGGTTTTATGTTGCTGATGTTGAAGGATATCTCTTCGAGGATGTCGTGAAGCTTAATATAAAGCGGTTTGAGGAGGTGTTCGTGATAGGGTTCTGAGATTGTCCTTATTAAGCCAGTTTGGGGAGTAGACTTCTTTTTGGCTGCGAACTTTGTAATTAGGTACTTTTGTCTGATATTCAATGGTAGGCAGTGAGCTTCRCACATCATACTGTCGATTGGACTTGATTTGAAAGCTCCGATGGCCATCCTGATGCCGGCGTTTTGTACGRTGTTGAGTGTTTTCAGGGTATTTTGGTTGGCGAGGCTGTAAATGATTGATCCGTAGTCTAATATCGATTGTATCAAAGAGTTGTATAGGATTAAGAGTGTTTTGCGGTCAGCACCCCATTTAAATTGAACTTTTATATATACATTATGACTATTTTTTAATTCTTCAAATGTCTACCTACTATAGTTGCATTATTATTTTATTTTAGTTTCCAGACTTATGGCCTCCACATGGTCAACCATCTATTGATCCCAAAAGATCACAAACATTCTGGCACAAAACTGTATTAAACCTAACAAGTTCTATGGATGAAACAAGTAATATACAAACGGGCCAAGCATTTTCGTTGTTTTTTACATGGATCTCTATAGCTTTAATGCTGGCAGCCGCTTGGCTTACAAGTAAAAACAAGTATATACAAGTATGTATTATTTTGATATTATATTAGAGATTATTTTTACTTGATTTGATGCATTTTATTTATTTTTATTTTAGGCGTTCATTAATTTTTCCAATTCAATGTTTCAAAGTTTACCGTTTTATATTCAAATTATGACATGTGCAATTCCACCATTTTTGTTGGTTGTTGTGTACATTGTAGAATCAGGTTATGGATATATTAGCTTCTTGTATATCACGTCTGTAGAGGTAATTAAATTTTAAATTTATTTTATATACTTGGAAAATAAGAACAGAAAATAATATATTTCCGTCATTATTTTACAGTTAAAAGACTTGTTGGTTTTCCCGATCTGGGTTGACGCAGTCATCCAAGTATTTTGTTCGTTGGGATTAGTGCATGGTCCGTGGACATCTTTTGGTTCATTTTCTAAACGTAAAAGCAATTTTCTGTTGACTGCTACTGTGGTGGTATCTTTCAGTTTCATTTTAGTCTTTGTGTGGACTTGGTTTATAGTTTCCACAATAATACCAAATGTTTTACAAGACATTAAAAATTGCGTAATCGGGTATAATCAAACTACACGATGATAAAAATTTATATGTGGGTGAATTGAAAACGAAACATGTTTAATTATATTTATAATGGTTTTTTTTTAATTGCTTCGATTTCAAATCACCCTAGTTTTAAATTTCTGTAGTCAATTTTAAGATGTTAAGTTATTAAATATTTTTATTCATAATTTTTAGATCAGCTTATAAGTGGGATAATTCTAAAGACATGCCAGCGCACGTGTTTTACAGTAATAATTATGATGC